GTCAATTTCATCTATAATTCCAAACGCTTCCTTCGAATAACCCTTTCGCCACTTCTCAGGGACAGACAACGAACGGCAAATGGTGTGAATAATGCTTGAACCCTGTATCTAGTAAAACAGATCACCTATCTGTATCAAATTTAAGACACTATTTCTAAATTGTTCTTCCATTTTTGACAGTCCTGCAAGCAATGAACATTAAGGATTACATGCATTTGATTAAATGGAATACACGCTTTTAATTGAAATTGCCTAAAAAAAAAAAAACTATGGAAATTAGATGTGCAACAATACATTCACTTTGAGGGCATTTTGATTTAGTCCTTTATTTTCTTTTTTCATTATTTTGACAGTATGGAAGAATATCTAAATTAGAAAAGCACTCTGAGAGCGCAGACCTCCGCCAAGGCAGCAAAGTCTCCACCCAGTGCCGTTTCACCCCTAAATTTTCATTCTATAATGATTTAGTTTTTTATTTTTGATTATTGATTGATTAATGATCAGGATCACCACCAAAAACTAATCATCTGTTCCTTGGCCCACTTCTGACAGTTCCAGACAATTTCATCCAAATCGGTCCATAACTTAGTTTTTTATTTTTGATTATTGATTGATTATTGATCCTGATCACCACCAAAATCTAATCATCTGTTCCTTGGCCCACTTCTAACAGTTCCTGAAAATTTCATCAAAAATCGGTCCATTATACGTTTTCTGTAATGTTGCTAACAGACAGACAGGCAGACAGATAGACAGACAGACAGACAAACTAACGGAACCAAAAACATAACTTCCTTGGCGGAGGTAGTAAATGTAAAGCCAACAGTGACTGATCGAATATGATATGTCTACATGGAAGAGACTGCAGAGGAGTGCTGGCAAGTACAGTATGTAGGGCCTACAACACGGATACTGCACGCTGTGCACAATGTTCTCCATTATCTGTCTCATGTTCATCTGTTATTGCACTCTATTCAATTTCATTTTATTTGTTCCATTTTATTTTATGTAATTTTATTCTGGCATCATAAGTCGCCAAGGGTCGAATCGACCATGGCACTGGACAGACTTCTGTTCTATTTCATCGTTCCTTTTTTTCATTTTTTTTTTTTTTTAGATTGGGCCACACTTTTTTTATTTTTATGGATGACATCCTGCGCGCGCACCGATTTTCGCCCATTCTCCGAAAAAAAAAAAACCCCCCCCCCCCCCAACGAAGTCGATTGTCGCAAACGTCGTTATTGAATTTGCCAGGAAATGAGCTTTCTGCGCATGCGTATTATCGCCACGTGGAAATGTGGCTGCTTTGCCGTCAAATTCATCTCTAGGATTACCTTCAAANCGCCCTCTCGCACCGATTTTGGGGTACCCAGAGGATGTCATCAATAAAAATAAAAAAGTGTGGCCTTGCTGAAAAATCTGTTGCACCTAGTTCGTATTGGAGAAAAAAACATTGGCATTTATTTAAGGCATTTGACGTAAATGATGACGGAGAAGTGGACCATCACGAGTTCGTTGATTTAACGACCGAAAGAGGTGCCGAATTACCTTCATGGAGAGTTAAAGCAGTGAAAGGAATTATGGAAAGCACATGGGTGACTTACTGGTGTAACGAGTTTACTCATTTCAAGAGCACATTCCGTATCAAGGACTTCGTCGACATCCTCTCGCAATATTTACAGGATTACACCATGGAAGACGCGGTGCTTGACTGGTGTGAGGAATGGTTCCCCATTATAGATGTTGACTGCAGTTACTCGATTTCTATTAATGAATATTCGGTATTTCTCGGTATTTTTCGGAACGATCCGACTTCGTTCGTTGTCTCATTCAATGCAACGGACAGAGATAGAAATGGGATGATAAGTAATGAAGAGTTTATCTATGGGTGTGAGCACTTTTACCACGAAAATGAGGAATCCCCAGCATCACTTTTCTACGTTGGTAAAAGAATAACGACTTAGAGTCACTCTGTTCTTATTCTTCTTGTGAGAAATAAATAAAATACAATGTATATTTGTCATGATGAAGCTGGCATGTTACGTACTCTTGTTTAGACTGTGTATTGGGGGGGGGGGGGGGGAGACGAGCCACAAAACACGTATTCACTCGCTTTATTTCCAACTCCTCGCGCAAGCGCACAACAATTATAACAAAAAGCTTGTTCACAACATTATACCAGTATTTAAACACAACAGCTCTTTTCACTGTCAATACCATCATGTTTTGACATATGCTTTTGGTTTTTCAAAATGATGTTTTTCATGCTGGTTGAAATGTTTGTTTCTTTACACTGTTTTCGACGAAATATATCATGATGTAATAAAACGTTGCATAAACCCTTCATGTACCCCGGGTTTTGAAGCCTTTTTAAAACTCATTTCGTACGCCCTTGCCAATATCGAAATGTTGAAACTATGCTGGGCAAAGAAAAGGCACAACCAGTCCTATAATAAACACAGGGTGATCTCGGAATAATAAGAGAGCGTGTATATCGCGAAGAATATTCATAGCAATATCATTTGCATAGTGCTTCCAGCTGAAGACTGAACGACGATATCAAAGCATGATACCAACCCCGCTGGGCTCACCCTTCTTGTTCTTTCTCACGGCTGCACTTGTCATTCTAGTGAGAAACGAGTACTATACGTATGCCGACCAAGTAAGTATTTAATAATCAATTTGAAATGAACGATTAAAGGCATAGTGATGTATTTGTGAGAAGTACGACCGGACCACTCGGCGGTGAGGATTTTGATCGCCTTTTCACTTAATGTCCACTGCCAATTTCATCTAAATCTATAATTCCAAATGCTTCTTCCGAATAACCCTTTCGCCGCTTCTCAGGGACAGAGAACGAACGACAAATGGTGTGAATAATGCTTGAATCCTGTATCTAGTAAAACAGATCACCTATCTGTATCAAATTTAAGACACCATTTCTAAATTGTTCTTCCATTTTTGACAGTCCTGCAACAATGGATTACACGCTTTTTATGGAAATAGCCCAAAGAAAACTATGGAAATTAGCTGTACAACTTTGAGTGCATTTTGATTTTTTTCTTTATTTTCGTATTTTATCATTACTTTGACAGTATGGAAGAATATTTAATTAAATGTAAAGCCAACAGTGACTGAATATGATATGTCTACATGGACGAGACTGCAGAGGAGTGGTAGACGGTACATGTATTTAGGACCTCCAACACGGATACTGCACGCTGCAATGTTCTCCATTATCCTCCTTATTATCATTATTATTTCTTTCTATTCAATTTAATTTTATTTGTTCCTTTTTATTTTATCTAATTTTATTCTACTTCATTGTTTCTTTTTCTCCCCTTTTTTTAGATTACTGAAAAAGCCGCTGCACCTAGCTCGTATTGGAGAAAAAAATTGTGGCATTTCTTTAAGTCATATGACGCAAATGATGACGGAGAAGTGGACCATCACGAGTTCGTTGATTTAACGGCCGAAAGAGGTGCCAAATTACCTTCGTGGAGAGTTAAAGCAGTGAAAGGATTTATGGAAAGCATATGGGTGACTTATTGGTTTAACGAGTTTACTCATTTCAAGACCACATTCCGCATCGAGGACTTCGTCGACATCCTCTCGCAATATGTACAGGATTACACCATGGAAGACAAGGGGCTTGACTGGTGTGAGGAATGGTTCCACATCATAGATGAAGACTGCAGTGGCGCGATTTCTATTAATGAATATTCGGTATTTCTCGTAATTTTTCGGAACGATCCGGCTTCGTTCGTTGTCTCATTCAATGCAACGGACAGAGATGGAAATGGGATGATAAGTAATGAAGAGTTTATCTATGGGTGCGAGCATTTTTACCACGAAAATGAGGAATCCCCAGCATCACTTTTCTACGGAGATAAAAGAATAACGACTTAAAGTCACTCTGATCATTGTTCTTTTTCTTCTTGTGAGAAATAAATAAAATATATTTTGTCATGATGAAGCTGACATGTAACGCCTTGTTTGTGTATTCCCAACAGAAATTGCGAGATGTTGATAACAATACAAACTGTAGGCACGTAAACAATGGTTTACGACCTTTGATCTTTCTTTGATCTTTCAACGCGTTTCCCATACAAATATTTTAGTAACTTTTGTAGTTCACACAGTAATATTTGAATTCAAAAACGCATTTTTTCTTTATATATTCGTTTTGATATTTTACTATTTTAATATGCCCACCACTACCAGAAAAGAAAAGAAAGAAATTAAAGAAAGAAAAAACTTCTAATTTTTAATCACTGAACTCCTCCTAAACGCATTTTTTTCTACTTGAAACACTCCAGCTGGATGCGACTGATGAGGACCGTTCGGAAGGCTGAAGAAGCATTAGGCATACCTCTTAATACATTTAGCAAGTCCTTGCACGCCTTTATTTGTGATATTTTTTGTTGTTGTTGTCCCTTTTCCCAGGAAATGGCAAGGTCCAGGATTTAGCTAAGTGGTTGAGTGGGGCACAATAAAAAACTGGAAATAAAAATATCAAGGGCCAAGGGCGCTAATAGGGACATCACTTGAAATAAAACAATATAACGTACTTCTTCTAGGGAGAGAGTAAGATTTTATAGGAAAACATTTTATAAGTTCTCTCAAATGCTTTGATTGATTTGATTATTTAGTTTGTTTTTTCTAGTTTATAATTACCCTTCACCCTTAACCAGCGCGCAAACCCCTCAAAGCGAATCCAACCCACCCAGCCTCTAGACTACAAAACAGTAGGGGCCTACATACCGGTAGATTACATACACAGATTAAGATATTTTGTTTTATGAATCATACTAGATTTTTGCAAAGAAGTTTGACTAACCTTTCCAATAAGCCTCTTAAATTCCTGCAAAAGGTTTTTATGTCATGCGCAGGAAAGTGCGTACCGGAATGGAATATGGCTTATTGATTAGTTTAGTTGCTGTGTGTGCCAGCTGATTCAATGTTTGGAGAGGGCGCTACACTCGCTATGAGACTGTGACGTCACCACTGTCGCCATCTTACCAGAAAATCCAAGAGAGAGAAACTTGTGTGAAAAATATCTCGAATACCTGTTAGTAAGCTCCTAAATTGTATACTCGTCTGCACAAATTAATATCTCAAGCATCACAGAATGACAATCTTGCCCAAAAAGAAGCAAGCAAAGGAGAAGAATGAACAAGAATCGGGTGAACATTCACAAAGTCATATTCACGGTCACAGCTCAACAACTGTTAGCGAGCAAAGGGCAGGAAGGGCCCGAAATTCACCCCCTAGATGGACTCATACTAGCTCTAGAGACAGTAAATTAACAACCCACGACCCAGGAGGGACGTTTGAAGAGTTTGAATCCCGAGAAGGGAGCTCTAGTCATAATAAAAGGCGTCACAGATCTCCCACCCACAGTCACAGAAGTAGAAAGCAAAGGAGCGAGTCTCGGCCGCACAGAGAAGCGACGGGGCTCTCGTCACATCCTAGCTGTAGCTCACAAAATACTGCTGATAATGAAGAGTTAAATGAAGGATATAATAGTGAAGATGAATATACCACACCCAAATGTCGGGAAAATCTAGAAGAGGTACACCTGAAGTGGGAGTGTTGAAATATTTATGTTATTATTATAAAATCAAACCCATACATGTAGCTGTAAATTACAGGTTTAGTTAGGAATTCAGATAATTTGCAGTTCAGTTTTTGTTTACTACCCATATGTGTGATATGTTACATATTTCTGTACATGATGAGCTGTTTGTCTGGCCGTCTCTTAGAAAGGCACGTAGCCAAGCAAAGGCATGCTCCATGTAAATTTGATCTAGGTATGCATAGGTTTCATAGTATAAGGTTCACTTTTTCCCAAAAAAGGACCTAGTCTTTAAAATTGCTGGCTGTGGTCTGCTGTAGAAGGGCTACCTGGTTTTTCCCTTTTCATTAATCAGGCTTTATAATCACGTGTTTGACAATAGAAAATGATATTATAAATGAGATCAAGGGTTTTCCCAGCAAACCGTCTAGCCATCATTTGGACGGCCACCAGCATCACTGGACAGCCTATATTTTCAAAGACGGCTGGACAGCTTATGAGTTTTTGGGAAATGTGATGGCTTTAAGTATACTTGGACTTCCTGAAATTTTAAAAGAAATTACAGGTGGTAATTGGATGACCTGTATGTCTGTACTCCTAATCGTGAGAAAAACCCCTAAATGAGATAAAGGATAAAATGCAAGTTTTATTAGATTTTTCAGACCCTTGCATGTAGATATTGTATGGCTAGATGTCTAGAATTGATAAATATTGCCTTTATTGCCCATCTTTCTCTTTCTTAGTTAGAACAGTGGTTTGAGGCTGCACTGCAGAAGAAGCGACACTTTGCTATCAAAAAGATGAAGGAAGATGGAGCATGCTTATTTCGAGCTGTGTGTAAGTAATGCGTACATATTATGTAAGAACATTTGCACAGAAAAGGTTGATTTTATTGGAAATTTGGACTATTTTGAAACAGTACTCAGAACCTTTCATAGAATTAATCTTTTATTTTTAGCATTATAGCATTCTATCCCAAATACATCCCTGTATAAGATTAGTAGAGGAAATTTCTGATTTCAGATTTTATTTTTTTCTTATTGCTCACTGATTTTTATTTTATTTTATTATTTTTTTTCAGCTGACCAAGTGTATGGTGACCAGGAGATGCATTCATTAGTAAGAAAGCAATGTATAGACTACATGGTAAGATCCTTAAGACAAAATAATGGAATATGTATGTTCATTGTAACCCTTAGTCAGAACCTCCATGTTTTCCTCACCACAGTTACTAGCCCACCTATGGAGACCCAAGTAAACTATTATTTGACTGTATGTGTATGGGACCATAAGGCTTCATTCACATGAAAAATCTATTTTCTAAAAATCTATTTTCTATTCGCGGTATCTTGTGATCACGGTCTGTGCCCTGAATGCCCCGCGGCGTAAATACTGGCAGAGCGAGCCAGTTACTTCCAAAGCTGTAATTAATTCTTGGCTGTGCTCGGAGTGATCACAAGATACCGCAAATAGAAAATAGATTTTTAGAAAATAGATTTTTCATGTGAACGGAGTCTAAGAATAAGTTATGTCGCCCTTGTTTATGTAGACTCAATCCACAGGGATTCTCCCTGAAACAATCACATTAAAAGACTAAAATGCCTCCTCCTGGCATTGAGAATACAGAGATACTGGTGATTATATGAGTACTTTGGAAAAAAGAGGAGACCTGCTAGTCTGTTAATTTGATTGATTTCACCAAGAGTCCCCATGGAGTTAGTTTGTATTAGCTTGGTCAGCATTACACATTTTAAAAGATCCCTAAGACAACCAGTCACATTTTCTGTTGCTTGTTAATTACTAATGTAGTAATGTGAAGTGGTCTCCGAATGTCTGGAAGCCTTCACCCCTTTTTTTTTTTTTTTTTTTTTTGCCAGATTCCTTAATTAATAAATTTTTTAAATATTAACCAGGTTTATTTAAACACTGAACTTAATTTTCAGATGAAAAATGCAGACTATTTTTCTAATTATGTCACGGAGGATTTTACAACTTATCTTAACCGCAAAAGACTAGATAGTTGCCATGGTAACCATGTAGAAATGCAGGCAATGTCCGAGTTATACAATAGGCCTATAGAAGTTTACAAGTACACAACAAGTGAGTGGCAAAAATTATTTGATTGATCTCTTAAGAGCAATTTTAGATTGCACCAGTAATTTGACAAAATATTCATGCGGAATTTTATCATTTTTGCTTGGACATAACCAGTGAAACTTTGTTTATTATTAGTTGAATTGAAAAGGATAATTATTGTTTTTAATTTTTTTATTCAAGGAACATTATCAAATTACGCTTTTTTTTTTTCGGCACAAATCCAAGTGTTCCAATTCCAGGTCCAGTCCATAGCACCCAATCTCTCACATTCTCCTATTTCTTATTGCCTCCTTCGGGCTCATAAATCCACAACACCTCCCCCAACTAGTCTAAACTGTATCCATTCTGTGAAGTTGTCAACAGTGTTACCCAGGAAATCCTGCTTAGCTTTTGGTTAATTAATTTTATTATTAGAAAATATATGTATAATCTTTTTTTCACCAGTGAAAAGATCCATTTTTCAGAACCAATCAATACGTTCCATGGTGCATACAAAACAGAAAATGAACCAGTACGGCTAAGTTACCATAACAACTCGCACTATAACTCTGTGGTTGACCCATATAAAGCCACAGTGGGAGTAGGCCTAGGGCTCCCAGGGTTTCAACCGGGGGTAAGTGTGAACTGTTTTTTAATTCAGAAGCAGAGGAATTGTTTTCAGCTGCCATAATATACTCCATGAAAATGGATTCAGTCTCATCTTAGAAACTTTCCTCTTGATGCGCCATCAACTTGACTTCTGCCATTCACCCAGGAGTTTTTCTTTCTTTTTAAAACCGATAAAGTTTACTCATGGCAAATATTCATTTTATTATTTTTTTCTTGAAAAATTTTTTTTTTTTTTTTTGCATTTTATTCATTGACAGATGGGAGGTGTATAAGTTGAGTATTTCTATATTTCAGTCTGCAGATAAAAACCTTATGAATAATGCAATAAAGCAGTCTGAAGACTTCCACATAGAGCAGGTCAGTGCACTTTCATTGCTGGTGCTCATTTTGTCATAGTGCAATGGAGCAGAATGACACCATGTTTGAGTAAATTGTCCATAGATAAGAAGTGCAATTTGATTTACTTTTTTCATTTCAAATGATGCTGATAACTACAAGTGTTAGAGTGAGGGTCTTTCATCTTTCCTTGAGTGATAATAAAGTGGCTAAATGTATATATTTTTTTGTCTCTGGGACATGGCCTTTTGAAATTTTGTCAAAAACATAAAAGTCAGATATAACCCCATTAAGAAACCATTAACTTATTCACTGAACTTATTTTTCATCTTCACTTCAGACTATGTTAGACGATAAAATGCGAGAAACAGACTGGGAGCTCACCCAGGAGACCATGGAGGAGCAAGTGGCTCGCGAGTCCTACTTACAATGGCTCCGCGAGAATGAGAAAAGAGCAAAAGGACAAGCATCAGTATGACAAAGAGACTTTTTACTTCATTCTGTTATAGTGCTTTACCTAATCTCAAAATGCTTGTACAGGTTTTGTTAGATGTAATTCAGAATGGACATGTTTTAAGAAGTTACTTATCGTTAAACAGTATCTTTGATTTAATTGTCATTTACTGGTCCATTGAAGACTTGTATTTGAATGTATTTAAAGTGACTGCTTTTTATATTTCTATTTTTTTAAAATTATTTGCGATATTATCTATGATAACAAAATTGTTCCATATGAAAGTCTTAAGGCTGATATTTTGTGTAATATTAAAAAAGGTAAGTTGTTTCAAAATAGATAAGAAACTAACACCGTCTCACTATGATCACGTCAGCCAACTTGTTAAAACGGACTTCTGGTCATGCTTCATAATATGAAATCTAATGTTTTATAGGTCTGGATACACTCATATGACTCTGTTTAGTTGTTTTTTTTTACCTTAATCAGCTAGGTGTATCATGTGGATTGTAATATAAATTGATATGAAGTCTTGTTTCTTTCAGTCTAAAAGTGCCAGTGCTACCTGTAGCAGCAGTTCTATGGCAGATGGACAGTCCTTCACCTGGAGGGAAGGGCTGTCACCTGTCAATGTCACCACTCACGCTGTGCGGTCACCAAGAAACCGTAGCGCTAATAACTCTGGACAGAACAGTCCGAATAGGATGGACACTTCTGAAGCTCTGCCGTCACCCCCGCCACCCAAGCTACCTGTACAGAATGGTACGGAACCAAATATTCCTTTGTTTTTCTAAACTTCAGCTACTTGAGCCGTAAAAGAATATTTTGCTTTGGCTTTAAATTCTAATCCTGTTTACTGAATTAGGATTAGTAAAGGGTGCAGCTCTATTCCCTCGTCTCTATATACAGAACCAAGATCTCTGATAGAGGACACCAAGAAAAAAAAATTGATTTTTTTGTTTAGATTCAGGAATCTTGATGGACATGCTGTTATTCTAATGAGAGTGCTGTAGGTTCTTTTTTAATTTTAGACCAAGGTGCGTGTGCTGGGTCCCCAAAGCCTGGGTCAAGTGGAGTGCTGAACCGAAGCCCCTCACCTCCTGGGGCCTGTGGGGGTGTGGCCTCTTTTTCTGAAACAGCTTCCATTATGAATCAACTTCCACCAAATGCATTTAGTAAGCATATTGAGATTACTGGTTCACTTGTATTTTTATTCTCCCAATTGAAACAAAAAATAATAATTGATAGAATTATGGTTCAATATATACTTAAATGTTCATTAAAAAAAAAAGATCAGTATGAAATTACTAAAAGACCAGACCATTTATTTCCAAAGTTGAACTTTCTAATATTCAATTTTTTTTTATTTTTTGTCCTTTTTGTCCTTACTAATGCTCCAAGTGTGTGTATGTTAGTTCTTTTGTTTTTGACTTCCACTTTCACTTTCCAGACCTTTCAGACTGGGTCACTGATGATGACGACATCCTGGCTCAAGTGATGGCCCAGTCGCAACAAGAATATCTGGACAGTCTGAGGAAGAACGCTGCTGGCACAAGTAAACAATCCTCATCCAGCGGAAACAGCTAACACACACTGCAGGGCAGCATAGGTTGATATATAGGGTTTCTATTTTACACTGATCAGTAATGCTTCTAAAAGTGGGAAGCATTGTTAAGGTTTAAAGACCACTCTCATTTACACTAAAGACGAACTCTTATTAGTTCATGACTACCCCAATGGCATATTTCAGTGTTTAAAGGCTATCGTAATATATGCAGCAAATGAAATCTAATTTTTTTTTTTTTCATTTTTGATGAAGAAATTGGAGGGTTAACATATCCCTTATTTTGATGGGACAGTAAGTTGAGAATTGTTCCAGTGTAGCAGTAAGCTGGGCTGGTCTATCTGCTGTGTGATCATTTTGTGTCCGTGTTCTTCACATTGTGATGAGGAATTGTGGCATTATAACATTTGATATAACACAGATATATGCAATCCCTGTCAATAGTTGGTTAAGACTTGCCCAGTGCCATAAGCCACTGTGGTATCTTTCTGATGCCGGTGTTTGTATGGAATTCGATAGTAGATGCTTGACTGAATTTTTAGGATGAAAAAATATGTGGTATGTCATTGAGAGTGTAGATTTACTTGTGTCCTTCCATTTCTGTGAAGTAGGAAGTACTAATGAGCTTCCATGCAAGAAATTTGAGTTGTCTCGTGTTTGCACCATTTGGTCAGGGGTGGTGGGGGGTGAACACTGCCATATCCTAGAATTCACTGTGGGGGAATGGGGCACAAGGAAAACTTTTTCCTCACTCTGCTCATCAGATATAAGCCAGTAGAGGAGGACTATTTTGTAAGGGCATGAAAGGCACATCTTCACTGCTCTATTAGTTTATTTATTATGTACTTGAGTAATTGGGACACACTCAGCGATGATGTTTGATTGATGGTTTTTGTGCTAGTGACTTTTCATGTTACTTCTCACATGTCATTTAAACCACATCATATTTGCTTTGCTTTGTTGTTGTAGGTAAATACTTAAAACTGCTAAGATATACAAAGGTTTGCTGACCCCCTCCCCCTCTGAACAAATTAGATAGCAAGTGATTAGTTGATGGAAAAAAGTGCATTTGGAAACTTGTCACATATATAAGAATATCCTGTCAATGGTGACACCCCTACTTTGCTTGCAGAAAAGAACCTTTAAAAAGTTGCTGGATTTTGAATAGAAATATTTGTGAATGGGAAAAACAGTAGTATTTTTTTTATGAAATGTGGTGCCTGTTTTAGGACAAAAGGGCAAGGCCAATGTGGCCAAAGTTTTAGGCAGATACTTAACTTATGTGGACCACTTTTTTTTTTTAGCTGAAGAACAATAGTTAAGCATAGATCCAATATTGTGGTGCTGAAATGTTGTTAAGAAAATGAAATTGTCTTTGGAAGGTTATGATAAGTATTGGCATATGTGTTTGCAGATACAGAAATGGTGCTTGGATATGTTGTAATTTTGCATTGGAATGTATATTGGCAAAAATGTTTGATATGTTGGTGACAGTAATTATTGTAATAAATTATAGTATAAATTGGCCTGAAAAAAACAAAACCATGATGATGTGATTCATATTTCAAATTTTGTAATAATTATTGAAGTTATCAAGAAATTTATCATAACTCCCTCAGTTTAAAAGGTCTGTTCCAAAGGCTGCTCAATTAGAATCCAATTTTTGTAACTTATTATAAAATGACAAATTATTTCAACTAGATATTTTTAAAATTAGAATTTCATTTCTTAATTCAGAGTATTTATTGAGAGTCTACACCCAGTTAACCAAAACCTGATAGATGTTTAAAGAGAGCTCCGTTTTGTCAGGTTCGTGAAATGTTTGTTGTGTACAAGGCACTGTAATGGTTTGGGTTGATTATTTATTTATACCTCCCATTATTCCCTTTTATTGCAATATTTTTGTTGTGCAAGGTATGTTTTTATTGTTATGCGTCAATGGTATGTGGAGCAATTATTGAGAGAATATGTTTCAGATTATGCTTCTTAGTGGTAAACATAGCACATCTGCCAATAAATTGAACTTACTTTGAAGATTTGTTTTCTCTTCATTGAAAAAATAAATTGAGACGGTTGACCCAAGAAATAAATATTTGGCGCAAGTCCACATTCGGTCCCGTACTGCAGTATTCCCACAACGACAGAAATGTGACAAAGACCGTTTCATTCGGTTGTGACAGGAATGGTAGTTAATTTTCAGTTGTCCATAATTTTGTTAACGTTAAGCCGGTGTTCGGCTGATATACTGTTCCCAATACTTCCGATTATCTGTAACCCGTGCTAGTCATGTGAGACCCCATACTTCTATTCCTGTCACACCGGCAATAGCGGTCATTGTTTCGCAAGGACAAACAGTCGCGCTTTCTACTGACTTAAGAAAATTGGCTAACGGACTTCAATGTTTATTGTTTAAGACTTTTTAAACAAAATCTATAAACATGAATTGCTCTGGCAGTTATGGAGATGGATTGAGAAGATATCGAGGGACACCTTCCAGACTAATGTCTCTGGTGAAAATTAATAGTGTTCAGACTAGGCCATGCAATTATCAAATCTACAGGAATTTTTTTAAACCAAAATCTGAAATTGTGACCTCCATCAACGGCCAAATATTTGACCACAAACAAAGGGGCAAACCGATACATTGTCGAAAATTCTTATCCACAAATAAAAATAATATACAATTATTGACTATGAGGTCAAGATGATATTTATAAACCTCAGAAGTGATAAATAACGACATCGGCAGCGCCTCGGTCGTTATCACTCTGTCGTATCTATAGCATGTTTCTTTAAACATTTTGTTTATGAAGTTGCAAGATAAAAATTAAAGTGGAACTAAAAGTCGGTCTTACTATTAACATTTTTTGGAGTTTTGAAAAGTAAACAGAAACACAACCACAATCCTTTTTTGGCACCGTAAACTTACCTCTCTGCGCACAAAAAAGATCGTAATTGTCATTTGTCAGAAGCGCCAAAAGACGACCGCTTACTTTAATCCGTCTCCTACATTTTTCTGCACTTTTGGGGGGAGGTCTTGGAAAAGGAAAGAAGTTTATACCACCCTCCAAACGTTCGGGATACCGCCTGTCAGAGTTGCAGTATTCCAACTGCCATCTTTTCAAAATATATTTTTAGAATTCTCTTCTTTTCGTTCATGCGGCGCGTAACATGATCTCGCGAACTTTTGTCCCGAAACGAAAAAGACAGCCAGTGAAGCGTGAGAAATATAGCGCGCTGTTTGGCTTACAGCCGCCAATGATTCATTAATTATGAAATTATAAAGGCTTGACTTTGAAGTCTTTTCGCTTATAAATTTCACTTACAATAATAATGAAAATACAAATAATATATATAAAAATAACAATAATGCAACTTAAGGTTGACTGTTCTATAATAACAAAACTGAAATCTGCTATCTTCTAAAAGAGATTTCAAAATACATTTTTAAGATCTGCGATGAAATTGAAATAATGAACGTGGCTGGTAAAAAACTAAATGCAAAGCAAAACGATTTGTTATGCGAATACGAAAGTTTCTCAGCTAAATCCACAATATACCTCACTGATGCCGTCTTAATTCTGCTGCCTGATGTTCTACATGTACTAGTGTGTGTGTGTGTGTGTGTGTGTGTGTGTGTGTGTGTGTAATTTATGCTAATTAAATTAAAATGCACAAACAATAAAATAAAAAATATATATAATTAAGTATTTGATTCAAGGATAAAGGCACGTCCTTAAAAAAGTAAATTTTATCTAATGTTCTAAAATGGTGATTACTGTATACAATGGCACAATTATCTTGAATAAATATAAAATAAAAAATCTGGTATTTAAGTTAACTAAGCCTAACTTTTAAGCTTTAGAGCCCCGTTTAACGAAAGGGCTCGACTACAATGGCACAATTATCTTGTATAAAAATAAAATTAAAAATCTGGTATTGAAGTTAACTAAGCCTAACTTTTAAGCTTTAGAGTCCCGTTTAACAAAAGGGCTCGACTAAAACTGATTAACTCGAACAGCAGATTAAATCTAGGCAACTTTGCGTTTTTGGCCTGCATGGAACGCTTCTAAGGCGTACAATAATAGTCAGACTCCACCCTTCTATTTTGTTCCAATAAGGACTGGTAAAGTAACACGTATGGCATTTGCCTTCATGCATATACTGCGTACGTACTTGCATATAGCTATAAGTAGAAAATTTAGGGAAAAAAGCACAAGACCTACGGGGGGATACATGGATTCTGTCGCCACCATTGTAGAATATCATCATAACATGTCTTCGGATCGTTAACATCATTAATTCTCTTACAGACATTGCACCATTCATAATATTCGTCGACGGACGTGACGTTCTCCTTACTGCGCAAATATCGGACGTATCTGCTATCATCTTTGTCTATTTCTATTAAAAAATTAGCAAGATCCTTCGGTGTTTTGAACTTCCTTGCGTCTATAAACCAGTCAGGTTTTATACCATAAAATGAGTAGTTGGCCCCACTTCGGACAACACTTACAATGTCGTGTTTTAGAGTCTTAAAAAACTTCTCTGTGATGTAATAATTCGCCAGACTATTCTCAAATGAGAGATAGAATTTATAAGTTTCATAGATATGTTTTTCACATGGCGTATGGGCGGGGCACTTCATTGGACCGCAGGCGCCATATATGTCTACAGGTATGTATCGTTGTAGTTCCTTCACATACTTCTCTCTCTTTCCTGGAGTGTTACAATTACTTACAAACCAAGCCACCTTCTTACTTTTTAGACTCATAATAGCGGAATAGTTTCTTTTCCTTGGTGTTGTTATTGGTTTCACCTCACTATAATTTGCTATAAAATCAGAATCTGCCCTATACGTCATCGTCCAGTTAAAAACTCCTTTCCAATTTTTTAGGTGTTTCAAACCATAATAGCAAGGGCTTTCCATCATATTCAGAAGCCACCTCTGGTTTGGAAGTTTAAACTGGGGCCTGTCTCCCAATTCTAAAGCATGGAACGCAATGACATCAGCCTCTTTTAAGCGAGATCTTTGATCCGTCATTTCGCAAACTACTGGACAGTCTTTTAAACGTTCGAACGGCACAGTTCCCAATGGGTCAAACCCCCAGTGATTTAATCCGAAAAATTTAGTCCAAAATAAAATGACTTTAGGTTTGGTCCCATTATAATATTGTTTTTGTGGTGTTGGATTCAGCATTCGGATTGGTGGAATCGTTTCTGATACAAAGACAAGTAAAATCAAACAGCAAATTCCGGCGACCACGCCCACTACAAACACTGTGTTGCGCCCTTGAGTCATCTGTCACACCTGGTAATCAAACAAAAGAAACCAAGAATAGAATATCAAAAGAGGTACAAATTATTGATGTCTTTATTATGTATGTATCAATTTAACCTCTTTTTTATCAAGCGAGAGCGGCGTGGCAACAAATGAGAGTCGACCAAACTGATCAATGACTGTTCTTCAGGGTTTTTTTCTCTAACGTTCCGTAGAATTACAATCTTTTCCTCAACAGCACGTATTCCTATTCCCATAGTTTTCCGTGTTCCGGCCGCATACAGTTTCTCCTTTGTTGTTAGTCTCGCCTCACGCGGATTCTCGCAAGTTTTCTAGTCTCGTTTGGCGTCACGTAATGCCGATAGAGACGCTTTTGGGCTTCTCCAAAGGTTTCCAACAGCAGCCCTGTATAACTGACCACTTCCTGACGTTAAACGAAAAACTTCAGTCTCATTATTGCCTCCAAGAAGGAACCCAGCATCATCTTTTTGCAGTGCCTGGAATTAATAATGTACAATGTATTCATTTATAGTATTTTCAGTTGTGGTGAAAGCAAAAGCGAGGCAATGGTACCAAACAAATACATGTTCGAAACAATTTGTAATTTCATAAAATTGGGAATTTTTATAAAGATTCTAGCGTGGCGTTCATCAAAAGACTTCTCGGTCATTACTGGAATCTTCAATAAAAATAATAATTATAAACATAAAGCATACGATATAATAAATTCTCATGCTTGCATATTCATTAGCTAAATGGACAATTTGTAGAATTTACAAGCCTAAAAATGCCATAGTCTGGTTGACCTAGTTTTCATATCGAGACACGACTCTGATCTGTGCTGCCATAAATATGAAAGGACCATAATCCAATACTGGTCTAGGACCAGTGAAGGCCTCGATAGGGCCTACTTCATATTTGGTGTAATGTTAAACTTGTCCGATTTTTTGGCCTGAACGCTTGCCTGAAATGCAAACCCTTACAAACATGTCTTAATAATTTGTCTAATTATTTTGTTTCTTACATCAATCTGGGTGCTTACTGATAAAATTGTTCGGAATCCACATACGCCTATAGGTCCCTACTTTCCCCTAACATTAATAGTTGCCGTTAAAAACAAAGTAAATACCCACGACAAATACCCTCTACCAGGGCGAGTGATAGATTTTTTACAGATATTCAAAGATATGTATCTAGCTAGATAGATGGTCATTTAAAGCTCAACTCACCCTGTTGAGAAATCTCAAGGCTGATTACATGGGTTGAGCTTTAAACGACCATCTATCTAGCTAGAGACATATCTGTGAATATCTGTAAAAAATCTATCACTCGCCCTGGTAGAGGGTACACGACAAATACGACCCATATTTACCGATATACTTCCTTATTGATCCACTTAATCCACCAAACTGGACCGATGATATATCATATTATCCTTTGCGCGTGGCGCATGTTTCGCAAACTGTAGTAAAAATGTCACACGAAACCGGTTTTTTACTTCCCTTTTTGCTTCTCATGCCTTTCAACACATCAGAAAGATCAGCTGGTACGACAATGGGCAATGTTTTGATGACCTACAATACAATGCAATATAATATAAATCAATAAATAGTGTAGGTACAGTAGTACGTTAGCACGATAGAACAACCCAGTATTTTAGCAGTAATTCATGTCTTTTAGTTGTAGATGTTGAGCAAAAAAGAAAAATAACCCAGAGTATTTGTATTGACAGAGTAATTGATGTTGCCATGCAGAATAATTCAATGCCAACAGCAAAAGTACTGCCTCTCCAATTTTTTTTCGCATCAGCACAGAAAAATGATCCTCTTAAAATGGAAACAATGTTCTTTGAAGGTGTGCTGCGCATTGGCAAACTTTTGTGATACTGCTGTGCATTTTATTTAAAATGGAGAACGTGTTCATCAGTTGACAAGGGTGTTAGATGACAAGTGGGCGAGGCACCTTCAATCACGAGTTATTTACAGTGCAGTTGTGCACGTTTGAGCGTCAATGTATCTTTGACTGGCAGACAAAGGGTGAAGTCCAGTGGGTGACCAGAGATTTTTTAAAAGTTTCAACATATATACTAGTTATATATAGTAACAAGTTATATGTTCTGATAAATGTTTTTTTTTTGTTAAAGTTGCACTTTTGATATTCCAAATGTAGTGATTTAATATACTGGTATTTCTAATCATCATGCAGCACACTTCATTATGGGTAATTATACTGACAGAGAGCCAGGGTGTGTCTCAAAAATGCTAAAAAAAAAAAACTAGGTTTAACTCCAAATGGTGTTCACGAAATAGTCAATTAGCCAGACTTAGTATTCATTTGATGTGTGTGTGGTGGCCTTGTCTTGCTACCACCGTCCATCTTGATCTATCCCATGCGTCGACCCAGGGATGTCCAAACTTCCTCGGCACTGCTACATGACAATTTCAGGAAAGAGTGATCAGCGGGAAGTATGACGTTGAGTGGATACCTCGTTCACCGACCACCCTGACATATTGTTTTATCTGCGGGGTTATCTCAAGAATAATGTGGAGAGGACTATCTAATCCGGATAGCTAAAAATTATGTCACTATTCATTCATACGCTTTTTATTTACCAAATATAAAGTCAAGCATTATTATAGTAGAAAAAAATAATAGGCCTATGTGTACCCCACCTGCTCTCAAATCGCTGTGGTGATCAACCATTGTAAAATAACTGGAATGTTGTATCTATTTCATAAAACTGATCGATCGATAACTGAGGTTTAGTGTGACAGTCACATCATATGGAACGTTTGCATTTTACTACACATGATGAATCATTCCAGGTAGGTACTATACTATAGGCCTACGTGAACTCCGCCATTATGCTGGCGGGCAGACAATACAATACGCTTGGTTAATCGGCAGGTATTCGGACTGAAAACACCTGCCTTACGTACCGTTTACGTCTGTTCAAATAGATTAAATCGAGCACAGAGACCGACCTTGCTTTACACACCTAGGTGACGTGTACCATTCAATTCAGTGCACATTACACTAAGGACAGAAATTCTGTTATTAATTTTAGCATGTACTAGGTGGCCACTAGTTCTTTGGCGGGGTCATTAAAGAATAATCTTTTCATACCTCTGCTGAATTTCTCCATTGTTGTACAGTGTGTAGTGCGACGTCAAGAATGACTACATTCCCTCAAAACGAATAACCTAGCCTAGAGATGTGAACTCCATGGATTTCAGTCAGCAAGTTTTTTATTCAGTGCTGCGAACGTCCTCTTTCTAACAGTAACGCGATTTCTTGTGCTATGCTTTGAACATAGTTTGACTTTCTCCAAGTTGTACGGTGGTACCTTGAAATTGAATATGGTGGTCTGCAAAATGACGTCACGTGAGACGTATTGTTAACAGCGCCCTTCCAATGTTCCACGGTTTATGAGATTCATTATTCAATAGTCATTCAACGATATATGCAAAGTATCTAAAATATCATATATTACACATTATTACGATAGTAAATTAAGCCTTTTGGAAAAGGGAATGAACGTGGGATTTACACAATCCCGTCTTGGCAAGGTCACGTGAGACCAAGGAGTAACCTAAAACCGAGGTCGTGACGAGAATTTTTACGAATCTGAATAGGTTGTCGATCACTGAGCCTGTTCAGCGTGGACGCAACAGGAGAGAGAATGTTTGCGGATGTTAGGCACTAAGAAGTAGCAGTAACCTATTTCTTTTTTTTTATTATTGCAGAGAGGGTTATATGCAATTGTATACAATTTTATTGCACAAAATATGCGAGCAGAGCAAAAAAATCTACTGCTGTTCTGAAAGAGTCAACAGACAGTAGACAAACTATAAAAATCCAGGAAACTAAGCCATTTTTGGGCCAATCTGGAAAGTAATGCAACAGTTTTCATTTCTGTTATTTTACCACAATGCTTTTCTGTAAAGCCTCTAAAATCTCAGACGTACTAATAGTTCTTAGGAATCCTAGTGTGAGAGGCCGCCAATTTCATAGTAATAGGTTATATGTTTATCAACTACAACCAGGGAGATTCAGTGACCATGGTCAAATTTAGATTGTTTCTCAGCGTTTTCCATTCCTTTAATAAAAGCCTTTAAATATGTAAATTGTGTAGGCCTATCCTTCGTCATTTTGACAAAAATGCCTGGGGGGAAATAGTGTTCATAATAGATTTAATTTTGATTTTCATTCTTTTCTACACCCATTTTACCCTTATAATATATATATATCCAATATATATCTGGTGGGCATCAAGTTCGTTTCATCGGACTTTTAAAAAAATTTTATATGGCCGCCATTTGCAATATGATTATATTGGAATCAAGTAGGCCTACTGCCAGGGATTTCATTTACATATTGCCTATTAACAAACAAAGTTTGAGTCTGCATATTTTCCACGTCCTTACTGTATTACCTACATAATATATAAATGCGTAGAGAAGGCCTAACAAGTGTGTATTCTTTGGTATTTGAATAAGATCTAAGAAATTACAGTAGGCCTAATTTGCTGGACTAAATCTTCAGTCTCTGTGCGATCATTCTCAAAGTTTCGGTTATCATGGTAGCTTTGCAAAAAACCACGTTCTATCAAAAAATGCTTCAGATGGCCTCCGCGGCGTTAGAGGCACTCGTCGCGCAAAATTTTCAATTATTCAGCCACGTTCCTCTTCGGGAATTTCCCTGATTTTTGCTGTGATAACTGCCTTCAGTTCACCAATCTTTTGTTCTGGTCCACATTATACTTGTGATAAATCTGCAGATAAAACAATATGTCGGAGTGTTCGGTGAATGGGGTGCCCACTCCGCGTCACACTTCCTGCTGATCACTCTTTCCTGAAATTGCTATGTGGCAGTGCTGAGGAAATTTGGAAATCCCTGGGTCGACGCAGATAGATAAGATGGACGGTGGTAGCAAGACAGGGCCACCACAGACACGTCAAATGTCTACGTAGTCTGACTGAGAGAATAATTGACTATTTTGTGCTACGTATGCAAGTGTGGGTCCAACTCCACGAACGCCATTTGGGGTATATATTGGAAAGACTTCTATGTAAAGCTATGCCACATGGCGGCAGACAATAGGTCGTGACGGCATTTATAGGTTCCAAACCTGAAGCAGTACATCGAGATTAGCGTGATTCCAATAGCACACGAACAAAACATTGTGCCTCGATATGGAACCAGACAACTCTGTGGTTTTTAGTCTCCAAATTCTACCAAATATCCATTTAACTAATAAATAGGCCTCGCTATAGATCTTATTATATCGTGTATTATTGAAGATTCCAGTGATAAACAAGAAGTCTTTTGATGTATGCTAAACTATGATCTTCATTTTAAAATATCGATTTTTACGATATTACTAATTGTATGGCAGTGTAAGGTACCATTGCCTCGCTTTGGGAAAATTAAAACTGGCACTCTAAACAAGGAAGCAGAAGTTAAAACTTTCATATTGGTTAATTTCGCCCACGCATAAGAACATCCTCGCAGCACTGCCTGCAATTAACCTTCCTATACGATTTTAAATGCATTTTGCAATAATATTTTCAATCTGCCACACGAAGCATATATATATATCAGGAGTGGGAATTCCCTTATAATGAAGGCAAAATAAATGTTATTCTAAGATAAATCTGATGGATTCATCTTTTAATACATACAATCAACAGGACATTTCCAATGTGCGCTCTCAAAACGACACCAGAGAGTAAATTAAGTCAAATCAATCAGACGGTAAACACAGGCAGGCTTTCTCAATTTCAACAATTGTCTATTTCAAAAAGCGCGCTTTTAGCGCATGCGCAGTAGTTTAAATCCTATGCTGATGCCAATATCTGGACTGTGTATAGATATACCACCACACGTGATTTGGCCGTCGTGCTGAGACTGTTCTCTGTATTTCGGGTTTTTTTTGTGTGTGTGTGTTTTTTAATAGTTACATTTCAATTTCCTCACAACAGTTTGTGAAATTTTTGTATTGGCGTAGTACATTTTCATCAGTAGAATTGAATTAAAATAATGAAAGCGGCAGCGGCAAATATGCCTACCAGCTAGATCTTGGTAGCTTCTTTGTGGATTCACACCTGTCACATCTGCATACAAGTAAGGTTTAAACATTTTAGGTGAGTACTGTAACAATTGATCAAAGTCTGTATTTGAGACGAACAATTTTAATGAAATTTGAACTGTTCTGAGGCTATAATTCAATGCAGTGTATACTATATGCTCCCAGTAGGCCGTCCCAAAACAAGAGGCTGATTCAGTATATTCATTGGGTTGTACTTTGAATCTTGATAGTGCCAGGTAAATATTGATCATGGACACATATATCTATTCGAGAGAGGGGGGCATGGGTGACCGTTAACATAGAACCAGTAGACTTACACCCCATTTCCATAGATTAGATCGACTTCTTTAGATCGACCTAACTCCCTGGGGGTTCACGCTAAATAGCTGTCAGCCGGGCGGACACGAAAGTTAATTACCCCTTACAGCTTGTAGTAGGCGGGACGGACATTTAAGGGGACAGNGGCTGATTTAACGTAAAAGATGATAAAATCAAAAGTAAATAGTTAAAGACAATTCCCTGGTACCGCGCTGTAGTGCTTTCACCCAGCTTTATGAGGCCTTTTGAATCACTTGAATAGCTGTCTTGGTTATAGAGAAAATCCCAATACCGAAAACGGCATTTTTCCCCTCAAATTGGCGCCAGAGCGTCATCCGTTGGACACTGTACTTAATCCCCGTCTTTAATTGGCCTTCTGGGAAGTTTGTTTTAATTTTTTATTAAAACTTACAAGCCCAGGGCTTTGTTTCTATGACTTTGGTCCTTTTACTATAAGTCCCCTTAAGTCGGATTATCTGAAAGGAATCTAGTGAGACTCCCCGCGGGGATAGATCGATCTAAAATCTATGGGAATAGAGCCCTAGTTTCATGCGCTGCCGTGTATCATAGAGCGCATTCAGAACAGCGGACTAACATGTCCGCGGATCAAATTTGGCGACCCACTAAAAAGCTTGCCAAGTAGACACTGAATAGATTCCCCGCGGGGATTACGCAACAAGAATTCAAGTGGGTCGGCCATATTTGATGCGTGGATCTGTTAGTATGTCCTTCTGAATGAGCGCATTTAGAACAGTGGACTAACAGATCCGAAGATCAAATATGGCGACCTACTTAAAAGCTTGCCGCTTAATTCAGGATTAGACACTGAATACATTTCCTGCAGGGATTAGGCAACAAGCGTTCAAGTGGGTATGCCCTATTTGATCCGTGGTTCTGTTAGACCCCATTTCCAGAGACTACTTTAGATCGACCTAACTCCCTGGGGGTTCACGCTAAATAGCTGTCAGCCGAGCGGACACGAAAGTTAATTACCCCCTTACAGCTTGTAGCAGGCGGGACGGACATTTAAGCCGGATTATCTGACAGTAATCTAGTGAGACTCCCCGCGGGGATAGATCGATCTAAAAGCTCTGGGAATACAGCCTTAGGCCCCATTCAAAATGAAAAATCCGAGTAGGCCTACTAACTGGTCTAAGGCTCAGATATGGCAGACCTAAATGAAAGGAAGACCGCTCAATCCTGTAATGGTCTGTCCGCCTCCGGTCGAATGGAGCCGAGATTTGATGACTGTCCCCCTCAGGGACGACGCGAAGGGAGGCATATGTGAGAGGCGTTCATTATTTGTATGCTGTCGTTTGGATCTGAAGATTGGGTGAATAGAAAGGGTTCCCTTTTTCATTGTTACTCTATAATTGGCAGTGTTCTTTCGTTGCTCGGCGGTTTAAAGGGACTGTCTATGTCTGAAGAAGGGTTGTCAGACTCAGACCAAATAAATCAATCTGTTACACACAGTCTAGATTTGAGCAAGATTTGAACGCCACGGGTCGCTCTCACTGAAGAACTAAAAAAAAGGCACGTTGCTTCTATTCATTTTGGTAGGAAAAGTAGCATAAAGCACATTTTCCTGGGTTAAACGACAACTTTCCCATACATACCAATAGTAAATGTATTTGTTCCAACATTTAAACTTAGTTGATTGAGTTTTTTTAACAAAAAGTTTGGCTTTTGTAAAAGGAGATTATTACTGAGGGTAGTTATCACCGACAATTCACTATCTCGCGATCAAAGTACGTATAAACCACTTGTATTAGTTTCTTTTACGACAAGAGTTAAGTCGACGTTCGAAGTGATAAACTGAATTTATCACTTAATCGGCCATAAAAGTGTTTAAAAACTGCACCTTCTATAAATAACTGGTCGTATACTGAATTGACCTATTTATCTGTCCCTTCAGTTCATAAAAGGCCGCCAAACTGAAGTAGAAATGTANATCTATGGAAATAGAGCCCTAGTTTCATGCGCTGCCGTGTATCATAGAGCGCATTCAGAACAGGTCCGCGGATCAAATTTGGCGACCCACTAAAAAGCTTGCCAAGTAGACACTGAATAGATTCCCCGCGGGGATTACGCAACAAGCATTCAAGTGGGTCGGCCATATTTGATGCGTGGATCTGTTAGTATGTCCTTCTGAATGAGCGCATTTAGAACAGAGGACTAACAGATCCGCAGATCAAATATGGCGACCTACTTGCCCCTTAATTCAGGATTAGACATTGAATACATTTCCTGCAGGGATTAGGCAACAAGCATTCAAGTGGATCGGTCCTATTTGATCCGTGGATCTGTTACTTAGGCCCCATTCAGAATGAAAGATCCGAGGACTAACTGGTCTAAGGCTCAGATATGGCAGACCCTACATGAAAGGAAGACCGCTAAATCCTGTAATGGTCTGTCCGCCTCCGGTCGAATGGAGCCGAGATTTGATGACTGTCCCCCGCAGGGACGACGCGTAGGGAGGCATATGTGAGAGGCGTTCATTATTTGTATGCTGTCGTTTGGATCTGAAGATTGGGTGAATAGAAAGGGTTCCCTTTTTCATTGTTACTCTATAATTGGCAGTGTTCTTTCGTTGCTCGGCGGTTTAAAGGGAATGTCTTTGTCTGAAGATTTTGAGCTGGTGTGACAAGAATGGCAGTCCTAGGAATCGAAGTCCGGGGTTCCATATGATTGAAAAGCTTAGGGTTAGTCGGAGTATTGTGGTTAGTATATTTTCGGATACAGCGTGACAATCCACCAGACGACTTTGAACTACGTGGATTTTGTTACAGCGATATGAGCACAACAACGCTCCGTAACCGTGACCGGGTTGTCGGACTCAGACCAAATAAATCAATCTGTGACACACAGTCTAGATTTGAGCAAGATTTGAACGCCACGGGTCGCTCTCACTGAAGAACTAAAAAAAAGGCACGTTGCTTCTATTCATTTTGGTAGGAAAAGTAGCATAAAGCACATTTTCCTGGGTTAAACGACAACTTTCCCATACATACCAATAGTTAATGTATTTGTTCCAACATTTAAACTTAGTTGATTGAGTTTTTTTTAACAAAGAGTTTGGCTTTTGTAAAAGGAGATTATTACTGAGGGTAGCTATTACCGACAATTCACTATCTCGCGGTCAAAGTACGTATAAACCACTTGTATTAGTTTCTTTTACGACAAGAGTTAAGTCGACGTTCAAAGGGATAAACTGAATTTATCACTCAATCGGCCATAAAAGTGTTTAAAAACTGCACCTTCTATAAATAACTGGTCGTATACTGAATTGACCTATTTATCTGTCCCTTCAGTTCATAAAAGGCCGCCAAACTGAAGTAGAAATGTCTAGCGCAGTTATTCAAATGAGTTGCCGAAAACGACAGAGGGTTATTAATATCTAAGAAAGAAACATAAATATCCGTTCAATCATCAATTTTCGGAAAATATGAGACGCTGGCGATTTGTATTTCTATACGTTATGCTATTTAGAACTGTATGGTGACATCTATTCGGGTTTTGTGGCAAAATTTTACTTCAAATCAATCTTTTATTCAGTTCGCTTATATTATGGTCAAAACTATTCTACCTTTGTCATTGTCACTGAGAAAGACAACAGGCGATAACACTTGGCATGTTTTTTGGTTGAAAAATTAGACCATTTTCCTTCTGTTCAGAATCCCTCACTTGCTAGCTATTTGATACTATATTTGATTTTCATTCATAGCACAAATTAGATTGAATGTTTCCCTTGTTGTCATTTTAAAGTGGCATTCAACCGCCTGTATGTGGTCAGTCGCAGTGTGCTTACAGCTGTTATTAGTAAGTGTTAAATAGTAGAGTTACTGTTTCAAACCTGAATGCAGTTCAAAATGCAGTTTTGTCTTTGCTCGTCCGAAACTCGCTAACTGTTACTAGACATTCCTTTATGCTTTCTGTATAAATAACGATTTGGGGTCTCTTGCGCCTTCATTCTCTTGATAAAAAAAGTCCAGAAAGCAAACAAAAAAGTTTAAATTAAGACATAGATAATAGATATCAATAACTATTGCCTCTTTGTTATTTTTATTCTTGAATGCTTTTGTTTTATTAACAGGTGTGACCCATGGCTGACGCTCAAGGACGCAAGAAGGTGTTTGCAGTGGGTTTGATTGCCGGAATTTGCAGTTTGATTTTACTTATGTTTGCATTGGAAATTATTCCGCCAATCCCAATGCTGACTCCAACACCACAAAAACAATATTATAATGGGACCAAACCTAAAGTCATTTTATTTTGGACTAAATTTTTCGGATTAAATCATTGGGGGTTTGACCCATTGGGAACTGTGCCGTTCGAACGTTTAAAAGACTGTCCAGTAGTTTGCGAAATGACGGATCAAAGATCTCGCTTAAAAGAGGCTGATGTCATTGCGTTCCATGCTTTAGAATTGGGAGACAGGCCCCAGTTTAAACTTCCAAACCAGAGGTGGCTTCTGAATATGATGGAAAGCCCTTGCTATTACGATTTGAAACATTTAAAGAACTGGAAAGGAGTTTTTAACTGGACGATGACGTATAGGGCAGATTCTGATTTCATAGCAAATTATAGTGAATTGAAACCGATGACAACAACAAAGAAAAGAAACTATTCCGCTATTATGAGTCTAAAAAGTAAGAAAGTGGCTTGGTTTGTAAGTAATTGTAACACTCCAGGAAAGAGAGAGAAGTATGTGAAGGAACTACAACGATACATACCTGTAGACATATATGGCGCCTGCGGTCCAATGAAGTGCCCCGCCCATACGCCATGTGAAAAACATATCTATGAAACTTATAAATTCTATCTCTCATTCGAGAATAGTCTGGCGAATTATTACATCACAGAGAAGTATTTTAAGACTCTAAAACACGACATTGTAAGTGTTGTTCGAAGTGGGGTCAACTACTCATTTTATGGTATAAAACCTGACTGGTTTATAGACGCAAGGAAGTTCAAAACACCGAAGGATCTTGCTAATTTTTTAATAGAAATAGACAAAGATGATAGCAGATACATTCGATATTTGCGCAGCAAGGAGAACGTCACATCCGTCGACGAATATTATGAATGGTGCAACGTCTGTAAGAGTATTAATAATGATACCGATTCGAGAACATATTATGATGATATTCTACAATGGTGGCAACAGAATCCGTGCATCCCACCGTAGATCTCATAATATTTTTAATGCATTTTCCACTGATAAACCGTCAAATTTTAATTTTTTTTATTTATTTTATTTATTTTTTTGTAATTTTGTGTTGCAGCTATAAAATATATTGTTTTGTTATAGTCATTAGAAAGAATAATTTCTAGCGATGTATAAATGTAAAAGGATGAATGGAAAGAAAACACAAGTTATTCTGGGATTATGATAAAATTTAATCTAATCATAATATAGCTTTATGAACCAATACATTCACTTGAGAGTTCAACCTCCTTGGAGACGGCGTACTAATTGTAGTATGAGACAAACCATTCACCAGCAATAATAATAATATGAAGAAAAAAATTTCTTGGGGATTTTCCTGGGGTAAACGACGATGTTTCCATACTAACCAAAACGGAATTCATGATATTTCTATGTGTTGTTTACAATGTATTTAATCTGAAATTTTGAAACTCATATGAAGAGATGTTATTTGCTAAAAAAAAGAATTTTTTATTGGTGTTTTAAAAAATTCCCTTATGGTGCACTGCTAACGTACTACTGTGAACGAAATCAACAATTATACATTTTCATGATAAAAATGAACTTTCGACGTCAGATACTTATATGAGAGATTTTTATAAGTGTTTTTAAGGTCTGAATTGTAGCTTTTAGGGAGATGCAGGCATTGTGTATCTGACCTAGGAAAATTTTCAAAAACGTATACCTCTTTTTTATCGTGGAATTTTAGTTGGTTTTTAGCCACTGTGTCCACGCACTGTGTCCACGCACTGATAAAATTTTTAATTTCAGTAATTTTCTGCTCATTGCGTTTTAGAATACTGTAAAGTAATTGCGATCGTGTCTCTCCCAAGAACCTCTAACACATTGCTATCTACAGGCCTCAACTATTTGTTCCATCAAGTTTAACAAACGTAGCTTCTTTATTCTGGTTTGCCCTTTTTTAATGTACACGCATATTCTTAAACATTGCTGTAGCCGATTTATTTTTATGAATTCTCAGGAACTGAAAGAAGCAGGATAAAAATTATAGTCCCATGATATTTATATATAGTTTAAAGTTACAAACTTAGTTTTTATAGATGTTAAAAGGTGGCGCTGCACGGCGGTGCTCTGCATGCTTCTGTGCCTGTGGCTGGTAGCTTCGTGCCGTTTTATAACCAAATTTGTAAACATCAAATTCAAATTTCAAATTTAATTATTAAAGAAAAATACTCATTTCCGTAAGGTATGAATATACTATAAAATAGGTAAATATTTAAAAGCGAAAAAAAAATCAAAGTGACAGTTTAGGCCTACTGTAAAGGAGATGTCAAGCGAGAAAATAAATAGCCACTGAAAACTGATTTTTCGCACATAATTTTGTCTTGAGATGTCTCGAAAATACTCAGTTCGGTAAACACATTTGCTACAAAACTATCCAAATGAGATTGCATTGAAATTCCATAGGTCAGACAATCCACCACCTTCTAGACACAACAGTATTCCGCGACTTCCATCAATAATATCGATTTGGCCGCTGTGTATCGCCGCGAGCAGTCCCGTAACGGCCTAATTGTGCAACAACACGTCAGTATACTACGCAGATATCATCAAAAATAGAAATGATTTATCGAAGCTTACTGGGAAGAATCCAGTACTTTCTACGCATCTTAATGCACAGACATCTGTTTCGGCGAGATCGATAATAACATTAACTCAGGGACATTGAACTCGTATTTTTTCTCCGTCTGACTTACGGATGGGAATAAACATGTAAAAGCAGCTGAACACGTGTGGAGAGAGCGATCCAGTTGTGTATTTGTTTATGCTCTTTTTGCGACTGACACTAGTTTGAGAATTGGTGGTGGTGGTGGTGGTGGGGGGGGGGGGG